ACAGGTAAACACATTATTCCTTCTAGCTTTTCATAAGGGGGACGAAAATGTAATTTAGCTTGCATCAAAGTGTGCAGAAAGGGTGTGAATACTTTTTGAAGTGACAATAAAACAAGTGTTTTGTGAAATACACGTTTTTTTAAAAGAATTTGCACATTATATAAAAACGTAACGTGCGCTTTTGAATATTTCATTTATTCTTCAGTTTTTAAAGTTAAAGTGAGCAAGGTTAGAATCGTTTTTAAGAAGTAGCTGAAAGATCTGAAAGAATTTGAAGAATTTTTTTTTTTTTTTGCAACTTGCGTCCTAAATGTGAATATTTGCTTCAAGTTGTGCACTAGCAGGACGGTTTGTGGGTGAGGTGTGTGTGTGTGGAGTCTCAGAGAGACGAAGCTGGGCCCAGCTGCCTGGCATTAAGCAATGACCTCTGCATAATGAAAGATGGCGACAACATTTCCCACTCATTACAAGGTTCCACACTGTGACAAGATTTGCATATTCATATATTTATCCCTTCGCCTCTCCTTTTCCTCCTTTTTTAATGTTTTTTTTTTTTTACTGGAAATTATTTTTTCATGTGAGCAGGACATCTGCCTCCCTGACATTGCTCTGGAAGGGGAAAAATAAATAATTATGTGGCACATGATCTTTCCAGATGCCACAGAAATATGGCATGGCGTCGTCACCCACTCCGGTTGTTCGTGTTTTCTTCAGCTTAAGCACCAGGAAACCACGTTTAGGGTCAGCGGAAATGAATACAGGTTTGGCAGGAATATCTGAGTGAGGACTGGAGTTTATATCTGTTTTGCATAAAATTACGATACCCTAATACTGTCAGTGTTACTGGAATACTGACGTATCTGGTACTTCAGCAAGAAAACTGAGCATACATCTTGGTCAAATGAGCTCATCATTGTTTTATTTACAAAAAAAAATATTGCTTCACAAAAAAAATAGAAGTTTTAGGAAAAAAAAAGATTTAAAATGGTTAAATATTGGTTAATTATACCTTAGAGATGGGAGTTTCTACATAAGTACAAACCTTACACACATTTATGGAGTTCCACAAGGCTTGACTTGAACCTAAAAAAAAGTGCAATAAATTGAGGAGGTGTAAATAAAACATACAAACTTTAATCACCAACATAATTTTTTATGCTTTAGTAGTTGTCCTTTATAAACAAACACAAAGGTTTTGAAAAGAATAAGAATAAGGACAATCAGGACGAAATGCAGAAATTTGAATTCCTTTCATTTAGCTGAGCAACTTTAATTCGTCTGAATCTGAGCTGCGCCCACCGACAGCGCCTGCAGAGTCGCCGATCTCAGCGAGCAGCAGAACGATCACCGCAGCACTTCTGGATGCAAACCGTTTCATGTGAACACCTCAAGCTGAGGGCTACATAAATATAGAATTAGACAAAGTGTTATTTTTTCTTTTTATATTTTATTTCCCCCCCCTCTTTTTTGCAACATCCCCAGGTTGGGCTGGCTCCGAGCAGATGCAGGCACCTACTTCAAAAAGTTGCAGCTCCCTTATGATAGCTCTGCAAAAAGGTTTTCTTTTAACTTAAATCAGCAAATGTGGAGAGCGCAGACCTGGCGGCGTGTTTTCTCCCTTAGAAATAATTCCTCTCAGGGATCAATTTGAAATTTAAATTGCGGTGAAATGGTGTTTGTCATTAACAATCAAATATTTGAACCTGTGAAATAACTTTTGCCCCTTTTCTGCATCTACACTTCACTTAGTTCAAACATATCTCACAGGCTTTTGTTTTCATGATTATGAAGGAAGAAAAGAGTTATTCCCCAACATCAAATAAAATGAGGAGGAGAAAATATCCTCAAATCTTAGCTTTACAAGTAAAGTAGTCAAACAATTTAAGTTTTTATGTAGCTGTGTAAAAACAAGTCCTCTTATTTCAAGTTTCCTTCACATTTTAATTAAATATAAGGTAAGTTTAAAACAATAATAGGTTTGGCAAAACAACGAGTTATCTTTCCCGAAAAGCTAAATTTCTGACTTCACTGTCAAAAATGATGTTCTTGCAAAAACGAAGCACAAAGAGTGCACAATGATCGACTTTAATGTGATATTCCAGGAATAAGAATATGTGAAATAATTATGAACAATCCATATTGTTTGTTGTGGATAGCTTTTTAATTGATCTAGTTTGAAAAAAAAATTAAGTTTAATTCTGACAAGACTGACAAGCAAACAAATCTGCTGCCATCACATTTTCTAAAAGCTCAATCTGTTTCACATGAACGTTATTTTATAAACCTTTTCACGGGTGTCCAAAGTGCGGCCCGAGGGCCATTTGCGGCCCTCGGAGTGATTTTGTGCGGCCTACAACTGCTGTTTAAGAGTGGTATCATTTTAGCCAGCAGGCTTAAGAAGTTGATGCAGACTTTCTGCAAATTAGTTGGCAATCTTTTTTATATAATGTTTAGGCTTGACAGCAAAACGGATGAAAAGCAATCTTCTCTAAATGAGCAAAATTCTACAAAATACAAATCTTTGGCTATAATGTTTTTATTTTCACGTCATGGTACAAAGCACCAAAAACCTTTACTGATTTCTACCAGAAAGGAGACTTTTAGATAATGATTCATAAAACTTGGCCAAATATTGCAGTTGATAAAATAATCAATAGGGAAACTGGACATTTTTAAATGAATATAACGTGGTATCATCTGCATACGAGTTGATCAGCTTTATAAAACCTATGAATCTGTTGTAGCAACTGACAGTTGGACCATTTTTCAGAACTTTGATCAGCCTTTTGGACCATCCATGTTTCATGGATGGCCATTAGGAAAGGACACTTACTCAAATTATGCTTTTATTGCTGAGACCAGACTAAGATTAACATTCCAAACTCAAGAAAACAAACAAAGACCCAACAAATCAAATAAATAATTTTTTTGATAATAAAAAATATAAGCTTAATGTTTGAGTCTTTTAATGTTTCGGATCTACAACAATTTAGAACTCTTTCTTCACCAAAATTTAATAAACTTTTGTCCTTTCTCCAAAAATTGTGTTCATGTTGAGAGTTAAATTCACATTTTTGTGGCCCACGGGTCCATTCATCTTGATAGTTTTGGCCCACATATGAAAACCTTTGAACACCCGTGCTTTACTCCAATGTACAAAATCTCACTTGTCCATTCATAGTCAAATCTCCTGAAAGACTGAATGGATTTTAGATCAGTCTGGTAAGAAATGACTTATTTTACAGAAACTGAGTAAGACTTTGGTGTGGGTAGTAGCTGGGAGTTATTCGCAACACATTCTCTGAGTGTGGCATCTTGTAATTCCACATGAGCTAATCCATAAGATTGCAAGATTTGACTGTCTTTTCTCAACATTATTTGATCTTAGTTTAAAACTTTGGCGTGGGAAGCAGTAGGTGATATACACTCTTTCATAGAATGCTAAACATTCAACTCTAGGAGGTGTTGTTTTTAGCATGTGGGGCTCTTCTAGCAGAGTAATTGTGTAAAATGTGCGATGTTAAAGTTTATAAACTGGGATTGCACATGAAAAACTACATTTTTGTGGTTAAAACTGCAGCAATCTACTTTAGCTTGGGCCCTGCTTAAATTAGCTGTTAGCTTATCAATCTCGTAAGAATTAAAGGGTCTATCTGAAACAGGTAAGATGTTAATTGCTCGTAGCCTTTTCACAAATCTCCACTTTAGACGAACTGAACTACCAGTATCCCTTTAACACATTGTACCAGTACTAAAGGTTAAACAAATTAAGCTATATCCTGATCTGGAGAGCATGTGCCTCATTTTATCTGGACTTCAAAGCTGGAAGGTCCTAACTGTATATCAGATGTCTTTGGCTCTTGGGTGTGTTTGCATTCATTCTCATTGCTTTTACTCCATGGCCATGACAGTGATAGTTTAAACGTGGTGGTGGAAAGGAGCAGCTTCAAGGCCAAAGTAAGGTGCGTTTCAGTTATGATGAGCACGAACGGTCACTATGGTCGTTCTGCAAGACCCAGAACTTGATCTGTAATGGCTGCCCATAAAGGGAAATCACCATCGATGAAAATGACAGGTTATTAAGATCAGATTTTAGAGGGGCAATGGCTTTAGTACGATAGGTTAGCCATCTATAAAACCTTTAAAGCCAAGCTCTGAACGACATCATTTCTGCTCCACATCTACCCGTGCCCTGCACCAGAGACACATGCTAATAAGCTCACAACCTTTAATTAAGCAATACGTGTAAGTAGGCGGCCATTACAGCCTGATTTGTGAGCTAGTTCATTACACTAAGCACAGGCCAGAAGACACATATTCAATACAAATCAAGCTGGCCTGAAAATTATCCTGTTTAATGTGAGCCCAAAATTGATATTTTATCACTCGTCTTCTGATTAGTGACTTTAAGATTCTCCATATTTCATTGTGTTCGGGCGGTGTGGGACATCTGTCAACCCGCATTCATTAGGGAGTTGCAAAAGTGTTTACTGAGTTTATTACGTCACAAATGGCTTGTCAGTTCACAAGCGATATTTATGTTTTCTGGCACAGCGTCTCAAGAACAAAACATTGAAACATGATGCACAACTAAATTTGTTTACCGTGTAATCAGTCCCTTGCAGGTATTTGTTTAGGTAAATATATGACCTACTACATCTAATATGGATGGGTTTGTCAATACTTAAATGCTAGAGGGATTTAAATTGATAATTAAAAAACTCTGATATTTAAACCATTTTTAGGAGATTTACACCATTTAATATTCTTTTATTTTTCTTTTTAGTTATTGAGGTCTTGCAGTAGAAACCCAGATCCACAACCACTTCCTACAATTGGCTCGATGCGATTGGTCCCTGAAAGAAAACAAACATCTGATAAAGACCAGTAAGAAGAAATTAGATGTTTGACGTTAACTGATGAATATCTGAGTACAACAGAAACATGTTTAAGTCTTTACAAGTTTATTTGTATGACTTAAAAAACAAAATTAGACTTACGACCAAACCGTTTCTTCCGTTTCCTGAGCTGGAGAGAAGCGCTCTCGTCTTCCTTGTCCTCTCTCCGATCGGCAGAGCTCTGACCCGGGCAGGGTCCATTGTTAACTTCCTCTGTTTCACCAATCACCTTCAGAAAAAATTCAGCACGCGATAAAATCAGGTACACAGAATGATCAAATAAATAACAAAAACCTCAAAAACACATTTGTTACACATCGCCATGGCAGCTTGAGTATCGAGTATATCAAAGGAGTGGACCATCCTGCATAAATCTCTAACTCTGGTAACTAGGGAACTATTTTGCTTGAGACCTGGTCTTGTGATCTAAAAATCATTACGATGATGAATAATAATTATATAAAATGGCCTATATTCATTTCAAAAGTTAACTCGGGCAGATTAAATTATAAACCAAGATGGACACAGAGTATACTGAGGCAGGCAGGATGTGGGCAGAGATAGTCAACAAAATAATGTGCACAGCCAAGAATGTAGTTTTGCATTGAGACGTGTTAAAAAGTGGCCGCTCAGTTGCACAGCTCATTGATCACAAACACTCAGTCCAATAAGACTGCAATGGAAAATCTGCCGATGTTCTCGCAGTTTTGAGTTTCCAACTAGTCTCCAATAGTTGCAGCTCAATGAGGGATTATCTTTAGAGAGACGTTGGAGAAGAAGCAGAAATTTAAACTTTATATTATACCTCAACCCAGAGGGGAATAGCTCTGACAACTTCAGGTTAGACTATGTGTATAGCAATGAGATATACTACTTCAATCTCACAGGTAGCCAGTAATGAATGATAAACCATGCATTTATTAGAATTAATATATTAATTAATCAGCAAATTTTTATGTTATCTGCTATTAAGGAAGATGGTGGCAGCAGTTTTGGCAATGGCAAAACTGCAGAGTCTGTGTGAAGGTTTGGTTCATGCTTCGAGTACTCAAAATCAGCTGATGTACGAGCTAAACTGTAAGATTGAAGCAATTTGTGAGAATCGTAGGCCACCTGCGGTTTCTGGGACTCGCCATCATGTTGGAGACGACCTTGGAGGAGGCTCGTAAGCACGGACCAGTGGAATACCCACTAATCTGACCATTTTGGATCTTGAAAGTACCAGCAGGACTCAAGGCTGACGAGTAAAAAAACAGTCTGCCTGAAAAAGTCAACAATTGTGGTTTATCTGAATCTGACTCCCCCAGTTGGCCTTGAAAACAGGCCAACTTATCAAATTTCTCCCCTGGGATAGGTGTAAACTAAGGAAAAGCTTTGTCTATTGCAACCCCACCCCCAAGAACTTCTGTGAAGGCTTATCAGGACTGCCGGCTGACCAACATCTTATCAGGACTATGGCCTATCTGGAAGTGCTTCATGGACAAATCTCACCATCTTGCCATCAAATGCATATGTAATGTGTCTATAAATGTGATTTCTAGTAGAGTTTTTTTTAAATGTCTTAAATCATGTCCTGATAGGACAAGATGTGAAGATATATTTTTTTTGGTAACGCCACTATCCTATCCTCTTGGCCTTTCCCCCTTTTCTATCTAAAAAACTATTCTGAAAAAGGATAAGGGGCCACGCTCCAGTAGCAGCAGCAACGTGCACTCCACTCATCTTTCAGACGACTGTACGAACGTAACTTCACTGTATTTCAGTACAATGATAATGAAGCTTATTCTGATTCTGATTAAGGACATGATTAGCATGTATTTAATCTACAGTATTGAAATATTAGACCACGTCCAAACAAAAACAGTTGTTATTCAAAATTATCTTTTCATTTAATGTTTTAAAAAACATCCTTGCAAGCACGGAGCTGTTTCCATAAATGTCCTCATCCACACAGAAACACAGAAAACAACCCAGTGCTGTAGTAACTATGCCAGGCCTATACGTGGCACTGTTAGGCTGCCGGGAACATACACCGGAAACAGGAAGTGAGGCGTGGTGTGAACATAAAGCTTTCACACTGGTTGTAAAATGTAAACACAACAAGAAGAGGACGATGTAGCATGAAGGAGTTTTCCTGTTTGGTGACTTCTGTCTCGTCTTTTGACTGTCAGGACGATTCTGTTTAAAGGTCATTTTGACCTGAATAACTTCTGATTGTGTATGTGTGTCATTAATAAACATGAAATCAACTGCATAGATAAAGGACTTTCACATTCTGTTAAGCTCTTAAAAAACACAATTTCTTTATGAATGTAGGTTTGTTTATTTGATCACAATATATATTTTGAGCAATGAATAGCGATTGAGGATGGAGTGCTCAGGGACACAACAAGATGTGCAATGACTGGGGATCGAGCCGGGGACTTTTGGGTCATGGGTCGGCTGCCCTGCCTCTACCCCATCTCGGTCCCCATATACTGTTAACGAATTATTTGCACTTGTTAAATGAAATTGTTAAAGTGTTCATAAAGTAACATCATTGTTCTCAGTCACCTTGAGTTGTAGATGACATTAGGACAAATGTTTGGAAATGTTCAACAAAGTTCAGTCAGGTCTTCTGGATGGTTTCTTTTTTGTTGGGACGTTTCATCCTTCATCCAAAGGACTTCATCAGTCCGATGGTCCACAGCAAACTCAGTCCCACAAGCAGCACACTCACATAGTCGACCAACCAGTTTGATGGTGATAAGATGGTTTCGTCCCCGTCGACTCCTCTGAGGCAGCCGTAGCCAAAGTGGTTCACAACGTTCAAACTATGACGCGGCCAAACTGTGTTGGATTTTGTTACCTGGATTATTGAGCATGAACTTTGATGTTTGGAAAGGTTGCGTTTTTATCGTCTACACCAGGGGTGTCAAACCCACTTACAAAAAGAGCCCAAATTAAAACCTTTTTCAAACTAAGGGCCAGTTTCATAATCTACATAAACTCAAATCAGATACCCAGCATCTTTTCTTGGTCACGATTCCTCAACAAGAGTTGGACTGGTCTCATTTGATGTTCTCTGTTGCACTTTTGACATCATAATCAAAGATTACTGAAAAAATTCAAATGATGAAAGTATTTTACATTTAAAATAACATCTTGGGGGGCAGATAAGATGTCAACGAGGGCCACATTTGGCCCCCGGGGCCTTGAATTTGACACATTGGATCCCTCTTTCTAAAACTATTGTTTTGGGGCTTCTAAAACACTGTCACCACATGGACGTAAGACTAAAATAATGACTTTTTTTTTTTTAAGTTTGTGTTTTCACAACAAAAAAAAAACATTTATAATATTTATTTACATTGTTGTATTCACCACTTGTTGAAACCTATACTTTAATGGTAGATCTTAAATATGGAAACAACAAACGTAGCAACAACAAAAAAAACAACTCCCACTTTGTATTTCTTAATTTAACATACAATAAAAACCTTGTCTGACAATAATAGAAGGTGGTCTCCTGCTAAGCAGATATGGCTGCCAGGGAGGTATTAATCTCCTCATGCAACATACAGCAGGTAGCCAAGGACATGCACTCATCGCTCGCCTTCCAGACTCGCTGCCACACACACCGCATGCAGCAGACACACTCACTTCCCGTACAAATCAAATTCATATTTCTGACGGCTGCTGATGACCTCACGGCAAATGAAGCGTGGGTCCTCAGTGGCAATCAAACGCGAGGCAGAGTAATTACAAAAACGAGGGGTAGGAGGGGAAATTGATGTGGTTTGTCAATTAATGTTGCTGCGAGGTGTTTCTTTGAAAGGTTAAGCTCCTCGCATTTTCAGCAGGTTAAATCGGGTCAGTTTCGGTCCGGTGAAGTCATTATCTAGAGATGGACAGCAGGCGAAGTCATGAAAAACCCTCGCTGATGAAAGATTTGATGAAGATGATTGTACTCGTTTAAATCTGTATTTTTGCTCTGCAGCTTCAAAAATCTGCAGCCTAGAAAAGCGATAAGCTAGCTGCACTGCAACACATTCACCCCCGCTGCAGCTAAGATAATTACAAACCAAGCTGGTAAAAGCCTCACTATTAAATAAACTGCACACCTTTTGCTTTTGCTGTGAAGTGTATCCCCAAAGAAAGAGAGGTGGGAGAGAAAAAAACAAAAACCAAACTAAACGGCAAGTGTGAAATTGCAAAGAAAAGTGCTTTTATTTATACAAGTCGCTGGAGATGCTCATCATCAGCGTTTTTTCCGAGCCATAAATAATTTGCAGAGAGAGGTAATATTCAAGCTGGCAGAGCCTTAGTTGTGCATCTTTAATGGAAGTTTTACAGAAGCTGAGCCAGTTCTTGCATATGCTGCTCTCACCCATATGGAGGAGTGGAGACAAAAGGAGCACAGTTGGCTTGTCCTATCTTTTTATAAGTCCAACGACACTTAAATGCTAGCCTCGGAGAAAAAGCGGCACAGGGGGACATAAACCCACTGTGGTTTTAGGAGGGAAGATAATGACTTTGCCTGCATTAATTTCTTCATCAGCCATCTTGTTGCTACAGACAGAGTGGTTATGAGTCCTTTTCTGAAGGTCCTGGCGTATATAGACGCATTTCCCTGCATAATTTCGGCCCTAACAGTTGTTGTCAGCAGCGCATTTTGTGAGCAGGCAGCTGTGGAACATCTGTTTATAGGTAATGAGTGTTTGAAAAGCTACCTCACTTTACCTTCAACGGCTTTTATTGGAGAACACTGATGGAAAAGAAGCTTTAACTTTTTGTATTGCTGTGATTCAGCGAGAAGACTCATCGTGGTACACTCGCCTGCCTTGGGCAAAGGGCTGAATGAATGCACACGACGGATCGTTAATATTAACTTTTTTTTTTAAACAAAATCCAATATGAGCGTCTTTAAAGATTTAGCCTTGTTGTTGTCGATTTTACTACATTTTTACAGTTCTATTTTATCTGATTTTTAGCCTTTGATAAGAGAAAACTTGGCGCAGGTTTCCAAACTTTGTAGTTCCCAACCCACAAAAGGATCATGATAAAGGCACGTGGCTTCAACTATTACTGGTTTAAATACACAAAAACTGGTAATGCCACTAATAAACATGGACATAATGACATAAAAAAACCATCCTTAATCTACACAATAATATATTAACATATGATTACTGGTTTTATCCTTCGTAACAATGGTGATGAAAAAAAATCTCATCGCTAATAATTTTT